CTGATCAGAAAAATATTACGATCATCTAACACGCAACTGTTCAGTTAATTAGAAGTACACAACAACGCGTTCAGTAGGTGCAATCGCAACAGTTACTGAGCTGTTGCGCCTTCTGAACGGGCCCAATATCACAATAATCATATGCAAATCGATGCATTGATGTATGCCCTTCCATGCATCGAAAAATATCGATGTACATTTCGATGCAACGAATCAAAGAAAAACATCGATGTATTTTTGCCACTGACACCCCTAGGATCGATAAATTAAAATTCAGCTGTTTACACTTCGAAAATTTTTTTTTGACAACAGGCAAATCAGCTGATTGATTACACTGTAATAATAAATTCACAAAAACAGACAAGAATTTGTTGCACAGGGTGCACATGATGATCATAATTTTTCGTTATTCGAAAAAAAAAAGTTTCATGATGCATTTCCGAACGTTCATATTTGGAATTAAAAAAATTTTGGTGATGCATTTCCGAACATTTTTTTTTGCAGTTAATCGAGTTTTAAAATTTTAATTTATAAATAAATTTTAAAATTGGAATTTTGAACTATGTGGTTAAGCTCCGCCGGGGGCATGGTATTAGACAGTTTTTTGCTGAGTAGTTTAAAATCCTCGCTTGAATTTTGTTGGTTTTATAAGTACTAAATAATAAATATATTTATAAATTAATAATATAAATAGCAACTTACCGCTATATACTATATCATTATTAACATTGTACAGGACTGTAGGGAATACTTCCAAATGCACTTATGTATTTATGTATAAATATCTTACCTTTGATAAAAATTCAAAGCCGGTGGTGATTGGAACTGCTCTTAGTAATATACATTTCGTGGTGCAGGCTGAATTAAAAATTAGGGACCTTCACAACGAGCTTGTAGTTTTTGTTGGACCAGCATAAAAATTCGCAAAATGTTTTTGCTGAATAAAATCCAGTTACAGATTACCAACGATAAGCCCTAAAACGGAGTGTCAACTACCAATTTACCAAAACTACAGCAAAGACCCATTCTATTTGTATGTAGTATAAAAGTCGTCATTAAATAATTAATTTTCCTTGAAACGTATCAATGTAGGTACTTAATTAAACATTTATGCAGCATATCTGTTTTACTTTATTATTTAATGTTCTTTTAAGACAATACAAAGTCATTACTTTATTTGCCTGTTGAATTTGCAGCAATCTATGTATGTATGTATATACCTTTGACATGCATATATGTATACTTATGTTACCTATTTATTATAATTAATAAAGTTTTAGTTAACTTGTAAAATTGCATAGTGCAAAAATGTCAAAATTCATTTTTTATTCATTTATTTTGTCAAGTGCTAGGGAGGGTCTAGGTAAAAAGTGCCGAAGTACGAGACAAATAGTTAATGAGGGAAAGGAGAAGAAGGCTGTAAGGTACTTGGGAGGGGAGTATTGAAGATACAGTGAATTGGAAAATCTTAGATTTCAACGTTGTTTCCTTAGTGATAGAAGTTGTTGCATGTTATCCAACGACAGCGCTCTTTCGAGCGGGACTTCAAATTTTTTGTTGTCCATGTCATAGAGTGAAAATTTTAAAAGTTGCCATCGAAATCCATGGGTCATGTAGAGGTTTTACTACCTCAAACTAGCTAATGCAATGACTAGCTTAGTGTACTTAAATTCTAATATTTCAATCCAATATTTTTTACTTAGCTAAGTTTTTTTTTTAAATAAGTAAAGTGCTTCTCCCACGGACATTAGAAAAAGTTTGTCATGTGTACATTCACAATGTGCATAATTCATAATTTTAAAATATGTATTTTAATTATCTGTTATGCATATGAGTATGTTTTTTTATTTAGTAATTTTCAAAACCGTTATTCGCACTCAAAATTTTTAATTACAGTTAACATTGGTGTGAAATTTTGTTTGATTTTTAGATTCATGACGTTAAGGCAGAAATAGTATTAAATAAAAACAAAGTAAATGTGATTTTTTATTCTTAATATCCTAGATAGGTTAAAAATTCAGTAAATATATTGGCTTCAAAGATACATTGTTTCAAATATTAAGATAAACAAGTTCCTCTAAAACAAACAAGTGAATATAAGTACGTAAATAAAATTACATGTAAACTAATAGTGTAATATTCAAAACATTCAAATTTTGAAATTCTCACACTTACTGGTATTTGTTAGCATAGAAATTTGTTTATTTGCTACAATTTATTATATTTTTATCTAATTCCATTTGCATTGAGAAAAAAATATGGCATTACATTTCATATAAGCTTCCACAAATAACCACATACAAGATTTTTAAAGACTTCTTTATTTTCTAATGGATTTCATTTCTCGTTACCTCTTCAGTTAAACAATTGTATAGATTTCTCTACTACTCGACTCCCATCTGAATATATGAAGTGAAAGTTAACCAAAAAACACCTAAATTTCTTTCAAACACAAATAAAGATATAACAAATTTTTCGATTTTTAATAACACACACTCTGGGAACATACAGTTAACAAAGGTGGTCGAATGAAACTATTTGTAAAAAAAGTACTTTAATAAAGAATAATAATTTGTTTTTAACAATACTCTCTTTCTTAATGTTCGTTTCGGTTGTTTGAAAATAAACTTTTTTCATTAGACCAAGACAAGTTCATATGAATGCATCACACCGTACAATTTTGACAGATTTCTTTTTTTTTAATTTCTAAGCGAAAAATTAAGTATCGTAATCATAATATGTACATATATGTAAGAAGTTTTTAAGTAGTACATATTCTATATAAAATAATAAGGAAAAATATGTAATTTCAATTTCTTCTGCTGTGCGAGGTTTTACAAATAGTTTCTAGTTTTGGAGATATGAATATAATTTTGTTGAAAAAAAAAGAAAATCTTAAGGCGGGATCTAACATACATATGTATGTAAATGCTCACATAAAAGTTACTTTTTAAAATACAAATTCCAAACTACAATTTAACTAGGTAACATTATATAAGCACAGCTGTATTAGATTAGAAAAAGTCTTGGCTTTAAGTCGATCCTTTTATTTCCTGCAGCCAATAAGTTATAAATATATTGCACGTTCAAGAAATTTGTGAAAATGTGTAAAACATAGTAAACATTGCATTTGGATAAACTTGTTGCAGTTTGATGGTTTTGATGGTTCTCAATCGCTGATGTAAAAGTTTTTAAAATTTTCTAATATATTTTGCATTTAATGACTATGTAGTTAGATTTTTTTTTTTTTTGGAGAAATGTGTAACACTTTCATTTGTTGACTTTTTCAATACACATAATTAGTTCTCTCGGTAATGCGGTGTCTTTTCTACGCCTTCATTGCAATATTTTGACACATTTTATGTAATTAAGCTTATCACACATAATAAATATCTGAAGATAGCAAAGTTCTTTAAAAACAATATGTATACGTAATTCAAGAAACGATTTCAACAAAACCTTTTTAAAATATTTGTATGCGTAAAAAAACAATATACATCTCAAATTATTTCGAGATTTAACAAAAATCAGAACCCTTTGAAAACTGCAGAATAGAGAACCATATCTTTATAAAATATGTATTTTAATTGTAGACTGTAGCATTATTAGTGTTATTAGAAAACGACTTTAAACGTCAACAACCATTTTTTTGTGAATATCTGTGTTACCCACCACGGAGCAAAATTCATCGAAAGAGATTTTTCCATCCTCATCTTTGTCGGCGAAGCAAATAGTCTTATCAACGATCTGTTGTAATTGCGTGTCTTTCAGGTTGTTGCCTACCATCATTTTTAATACCTATAAAGTTAAGCAAAATCTTTTAAATATGAGATGTACTTATGCATATGTACATATATATATATATATATATACACCTGCGTTCAACTAATTAGAAACGAAATTCAAAATGATATTGTTTATTTTTTATTTTTAATAATTTTCATTTAAAATATAATTGAATCTGTAACAGAAACTGCAATAAAAAAAGTTTCAAAGCTTGCAAAAATTAAAAAAAAAAAATTAGTCCAATTTCAAAAAATTGTCATCAAAATTTCCCAATTTTTAATCAGAATACATATTTAGAAAATTTTCGGGTATGCACTTCTGTTGCTCATTCATCAAAATTGTAGTCTAAGAAAGTGCAAGTCTCATGTCGTTAAAAATTACCGTTGATTTTTAGGTTTTTTTTTCTGGAGGGTGTTGCGCATTTTCTTCCATATAACACATGATCAAAAATGTTTTTTATATGAAAACAAAGCTTTGAAACTATTAGTATTGTGGTTTCTGTTACAGATTGAATTATATTTTAAATGAAAATTTTTAAAATCAACATAATTTGCAAACAATATCATTATGAATTGTGTTTCTAGTTAGTTGAACGCAGGTGTACATGGGTCATTTCCACACAAAGTGCTATTTTTTTGTTTTCCCTTTTTAAATTATTTTATGGTGGTAATAATCAACATGAAAAAAGTTCAAACAAAGAAACAACGAAAAAATGCGTAACTTTTTGTGAATGACTACCATAAATTTTATGGTTTTATTCTATTTTTGCTGAAAATTTGTATGAGCATAAGCGTAGCTTTCTGTTATAATAGTGCATTGTAGTTAGGAAGCGCAAGAAATTATTGATCGAATGACATAAGAAAATAGTGTTGGGAAGTATCGAGTACTTTTGGGGATCGAGTTCTTTGGTATCGATACTGTAAAGGATCGGGTATTTTTCGAGTACTGAGTACCTTCTTTAAATATACACATGTTGGTAACATTTCCATACTTAGGGCCGTTTCCTCGTCTATCCTTTAGATTACCGGCCACTTTATCGTCTCGATATACGAGTTTTCGTTTTCTCTTCAGCGCATAAATTTCTCGAATCGATAAATTTTTGCTCACCCGATGCAACCTTTAAAAGGGTGTACCCAACTTTAAATTTCAACCAAGGTCTTGGTTTTTGCTAACAGTTGCTCGTGCTCTATATTTGCTTATGTTGCATTGCCAACCTTTGAAATTTTATGACGAGTGTAGTGAAGTTTCACTCTCGCGGTGCCGTAATTACGGAATAACAAATTTATTTTTACCGGTAAGATAAGAAAACGAAAACACAGTGAGTACTCAGTTCTTTGGAGTAATCAATATCGATACTTTTAAAATTCGGGTGCTGTCCATCCTTTTGAGAATCGAGTTCTGAGTACTTTTGGTATCGATACTGCCCAACACTATAAGAAATATATTAATAAAAGCAATTTTTTTGTTTTTAAGTGAATTTATCACTGAACCATAGTCAGTGCGGCTAAATATATCCGGAATGTCACCCAGTAATTTTATGCAAAAAAAAAAACACTAAATATAAGAAAATTACTAATGTGTGTTTATTGCTTAAAGGGGTCTCAATCAAGGCGTATTTAACAAGGTGGTGTTGGCCGTATATAAGTAAAAAATTACACTAACAAATTATGCGTTGATGTCCATACTGTCATTGGTATGAATTACAACAAACACATCATTTTGACGTAATGGCCTCCGCGGCGAAAAACTCAGCTGTCGCCCCAACACCACCTTGTTTAATACACCTTGGTTTTAATGATTTCCTTGTTTTTATATTTTCGTGAAATAAGACTCTTAGAAAAAAAAAACGAAATGTAATTGTTATTTCTCCAAAAGTGTTCAAATGGGAAATTGTGGTCGAAGAAGGCCTGAAATCAGTTTCGTATTCTGCACAAATTCTCATGTCAGTAAACGATTTCAGAGTTAAATTTATCAATCTTAAAAAAATTACATAAAAACTCCCTGCCATGTACACTTTGTTTGGAAATGACCCACATATACATACATATCGTCACTGAAATGCAAAAAGTCGTGGCTAATATTTTTTTTACATAAAATAATGTGGGGAGTTGAAATTCCATGAAATGCATCATATGAATAAAAAAGTGAAGTTTTTATTAGTTACGGCCTTTTGCATTTCAGGTGACGATATGTAGAAGCTTTCTACTGATGCTTTACCTNTGTAATTGTTATTTCTCCAAAAGTGTTCAAATGGGAAATTGTGGTCGAAGAAGGCCTGAAATCAGTTTCGTATTCTGCACACAATCTCATGTCAGTAAACGATTTCAGAGTTAAATTTATCAATCTTAAAAAAATTACATACAAATTCCCTGCCATGTACACTTTGTTTGGAAATGACCCACATATACATACATATCGTCACTGAAATGCAAAAAGTCGTGGCTAATAATTTTTTTACATAAAATAGTATGTAGAGTTGAAACTCCATGAAACGCATCATATGAATAAAAAAGTGAAGTTTTTTATTAGTTACGGCGCTTTGCATTTCAGGTGACGATATGTAGAAGCTTTCTACTGATGCTTTACCTGAAACAGTTCACCATTCGATATGTAACCATCGTTATCCATGTCGTAAATTCGGAAGGCGAAACGTAGCTTTGACAATTTGTCACCTTTCACACTAAACTGAGAGACACCCTGAATGAACTCTTTAAAGTCGACTTCTCCATTACCGTCCGCGTCAAAGATATCGATGACACGTTGCACCAAAGGATTCTGCTGCAATTCCGGCAATGACATGAATTCATCTACACTCAATGCTCCCGAATTGTCCAAGTCGAGTTTGCGGAAACGTTTGCCCAAACGTCTTATCTCATCGGCATCAACTATATATTGTTAAAAAAAACAAATACAAATTATCAAAAATACAAAAACTTTGCGATTAAAATTGGTAATTTTTCAATGAATTAAAAAACTACTTACAATTGGAGCACATCTCCATGGGCAAAGATGTTTCATTACCCTAAAAAGGAAATACTTATGCATTAACAAAAAATGATTTAAAATAGTATATATAAGGAATTTCAATATCCCAAACAAATTCGTAAAACATATATGTACATAACTAGTAGACAATGGAATGAATATTTCTACTCAACATATAGGTTGTTCACACTTGCTTGGTTATCAGGTTATCTGGTTACAAATTATTATTCTGTGGTGTTGCTGTTGTTATTGTAACAGAATACAAATTCCCCAAAGAGATTTTGGGGAGTGTTGCTGGAGTGACCGTCCTTGGCCAGATATAAATCTGGGTCGTTCCGGCTACGTAGACCCGACTGTCGTGCAAACGAATATTCTAAGAATATTCTGTAGTGTGTTTTATTCTTGTAAGCTGAATAAAAAATATAAGCAGACAACCAGATAACGTGATAACTAGGCAAGTGTGAACAACCTTATAATCTTTTTAAGGGAATAACTGTTAAAGATATGCTAATAACCTATAATTTGTACCAAAGTTCCCCTTTAAATATGTAAATGTAATAAGAGCACCATATACACACATATATGCATGTATATGCAGATATAAATGCATTTACATGTAGGTGTGTTTATGTTTGTACTTGCGCTCTGCAGGTGGCTGGTGTGGTTTTCTATCGCCCCACTGGCCTTGTGAGACCCTGGCAGTGTAATGGCCATACNCAAACGAATATTCTAAGAATATTCTGTAGTGTGTTTTATTGTTGTAAGCTGAATAAAAAATATAAGCAGACAACCAGATAACGTGATAACTAGGCAAGTGCGAACAACCTCATAATCTTTTTAATAGAATAACTGTTAAAGATATGCTAATAACCTATAATGTGTACCAAAGTTCCCCTTTAAATATGCAAATGTAATAAGAGCACCATATACACACATATATGCATGTATATGCAGATATAAATGCATTTACATGTAGGTGTGTTTATGTTTGTACTTGCGCTCTGCAGGTGGCTGGTGTGGTTTTCTATCGCCCCACTGGCCTTGTGAGACCCTGGCAGTGTAATGGCCATACCAAGTTGCGAAACATGTATTTGAAAAACTATTTCTAATATAAATTAATGTATGTAGTAAACCTTTAGCCTGTTTAAGTCCTTATATGATCTTGCAAAACATACAGGTGTACATAACTTACTTAGATATATACCCATATACATATGTATATCTACCTTCAAGGAGCCCTATCCTAAATTCTAAAGTAAAATAAAAATTTACCATCTTTACTGCTACAGGTACTGCGGTACGCAAATAGAATGCCGATTCGGTTAATAATTCAACTTTTTATCCTGAGTTGCTGGCTATTTTCTATTTATCACGTCCACTTTTCTGCTTTTCCTCTGCTCTTAAATTTTTTTTCTACTCCACAATTTCCCAGGCAGCTGTTGTTGTTGATATTTCCAATAAATTTTGCAACTTTTCCGATCCAATAGTATGGTTATCAAATATTTTTAGCTTCAATTAGTCAAATTATGCAGATTTTCCACTTTTTGTAAAATTTACAGAATTTGCTTTTCGCTCGATACACACATCAGTGTTGCAAAGCCTTAATATTACCCTGTGGGTAAATTAGGGTAATTTTAGTAGGGCAAACTATCGATGACACTATCGATAGCATCAGTAGTGCATGACTATCGCAACCATCGATGGTGTTAACAATCGGCAGTAGAAGACTATCGATACTACCGACGTTATTGCATACTTATACGATGCCCCCACTGGAGCTAACCACGTAGTTATGGCAAAAAAGTTACGGCACTTGTTGACAAACAATTTGCACTTCAAACACTTTTTATTATTAATATGGACCCTCACATATGTACAAACACCTCAGTATTTTACACATTCACTGATTACTATATACTTTAATTTATTTATTTTCTAAATAAAAATATATTTTCACAACCACTTGCGCAAAATAATCACCGAAATTCACATTTGCCGCTTTTCTCTGTTTTGCTTGCATTTTCTGCACTCACGGCGAAAATTAAAAATCTGCCGCGGACAGAATCAAAACGGAGACGAATTCCTGTTGCAAACGTTTCAGATACGGTTAAAATCGTCGCGGCCCATTTTCAAAGTAACGAGTTGTTCCTTCTTATAGATTTACCTTCTTTGGCGATACGCAGACCAATTGCGAAATTTCATCATTCTTGATTAGTTTTCATGGAGTGTAGACGTGCGTGGATGAAAATTTTCATTCACAATTTTTTAATCCTTTAATTCTGAAAGATATGTTAAATCTATATTTTGATATAATTAAATCTGCCCTATGAGAAATTGTTTATCTTCCTCCATTTTTATCCCTGAAAACAAATCAAGACGAAATTTCACCATACAGAACACATTTGGTCTGCGCATTGGCGGCTAAAATCAAAATTATTTGTTTTTACACAGACTGTATGTGAGACGGTCTGTGCAACCGTGAGATCGACCAAATACACGATAGGTCGGTGCAAGTTCCCGCGATACACAGAATACTGTGTGATCTCTTTGGCCCATAAAATATTTCTTCACTTTTAATTTGATGCGATATGGCATTGCTAACAATAAAAATCACTTGTTCGACGAATGTGGGAAAAGAAAATCAAAAAGTCAAATAAAGCGACCGACCACCCGCTGTATTGCAAATTGGACGATTAATTGTTTGTTTGTAAGATTAAACCGTTATAGGTTCATAATTTGTTAATAATTTAAAAATTAAAGCATCGAAATCAGCTACAACGCAAAGCAAAGCTCGGCTCAGAGAGTGGCCAGGGAACTTGAAAACTGCCGGGAAAAGCATCTAGTTGAAGTGGACTTTTCGCAGCCTTTTGCTCGGACGTACCGTGAAGCGAACTCAATTATTATACATACGTACATATATTGAAATACATAATTTATAATGGAGAATATACCATCGAGCGCCAATGATGTTATTGGCGGCAATATATTATCAACGCTAGAATCTAAAGATTCCAAAGTTACACTTGGGTCAGTCACACCCCTTGCTGAGGTCGAGAAACTATCCTATGAAATCCACCGTTACTCCAGCTTTTCTACCAACTATTTCCCTGAGTAAGTAAAGTAAATGCAAGAAATATAATTATTTTTAGTTTGGAACCGAAATATCGGAACGGAGGAGCATATTTGCATAATTGTGGCGTTCCGCTATGCGCTTCTTTATTGTACTCTATAATAGATATTTATTGAGTGTGTTTATTTTTACTGTTTGCGCCATGGTTTACGGTACAAATTTGATAAATTCCTTCGCGCAGAAAAGCCAAAAGATGAAACAATAGCAGTTCAACAATTTAGAGAATTAAGCATAAGTTTTGCATTGTATGTATGTATGTAGATTTGGTACTATGCCTATGGTACATATGTACATACGTACTCGCAGGAATTGTTACTACTAGATATTATTAAGCTTTCGATTTAATAATAATAATATTTTGGCGCTTACACATTTGTTAGTGTTTGCCCGAGCTTCTCCCCCGATATGTGGCGTGCGCCTTGATGTTGTCACACAAAGAAGAGGGGCATACAGTTTTACGCCGACTCCGAACGGTGATTGTATTTTTATGAGAAGGTGTTTTTCAGGGCAGAAATACACTCGGAGGTTTGCCATTGTCTGCCGAGGGGCGAACGCTGGTAAACAAAAAACCTTTTTCCTTTACTTTTTTTGCTATGTTGCGTTCCATGTATATAAACATACACGATGCATCACTGCTAACTGCGCTGTCGGTGATAATGTAAACATAATATTTTTGTGAGTTCATTGCCTCGAATAAAGTACACATATTATGCTTTTTATATGTTAGAAATATACTCGTAGATTGTCCAAGTGATCAGTCTTCACGTTGGTCAGCGCACACCAACAATCCACCGCAATATCTTACTCTGAAGCTAAAGCGTCCTGCCATTGTGAAAAAAATCAAATTTGGAAAGTTTGAAAAGTCTCACGTTTGCAATATCAAAAAGTTTCGAATTTTTGGAGGTCTTGATGAGGAACGCTTGGTATTGCTCCTAGAAGGGTAAATATAATATAAACTTAGTCACCTAGTTATTAAATTAAAACATATGCAATCTTATTTTAGCGGTCTTAAAAATGATAATGTGCCAGAAGTGTTTAACTTGCGATGCAAAACCGAAGACGGTTCAGAACAGCTTCCTATTTTGTTTGTGAAAATCGTGCCGTTACTGTCGTGGGGACCAACATTCAACTTTAGCATTTGGTATATTGAATTGCATGGCCAAGATGATCCAATGTATACCAGTGCGAGTTTAAAAAACTACAATATGGTGAGTAGGGACTCGCTTCGAGTTTTTGTTAATGTTTACGGAATTCGCTCTTTTTTACAGCTGCGTGAGATAGAGATCGTAAAATTGTGCTTGAAACACTTTCGCCAACAGGGCTACGATGCCGCATTTAGGGCTCTTCAAGAACAAACACAAGTACAATTGGAACACACGCTTATAAGCGAGCTGCACAAGTGTCTGGTCATGAGTGGCGATTTTGAAAAGGCTGAACAATTCATAACTGAGTGTGTGAATGAGGGTCTAATGGACGCCTACCTAAACCGCCAGGATTATATACACACCTGGCGTATGCAACACACTGAAAGCAGCACACAACCGGGTACATGCAGTAAAACGCGAATACTTAGTAAAATTCTTTTTAAATAAATTTAATTCATCATTTTATTTTTTAAGGCAATCGTGGCGGTCATCAATTGGTTGTGGATACTAAAAAACGTTTGGTGTATCTGTATGGTGGTTGGGACGGGTACCGTGACCTCAGCGATCTGTGGGTCTTCGATATAACAAATAATAGCTGGACATTGCTGTTTGAACAAACTGAACTTTTTAATGGACCCACTCCACGTTCATGCCATAAAATGGTCTTTGATTCTGTTAGTGAAAACATTTTTATGCTGGGCCGCTATTTGGACAACTCCATTCGTACAACAGATTATATAAAAGTAAGCTAAATTAACTATCAGTACAACATAACCTAAGTAAAACTTTAATGTGTTCTAATAATAGAGCGACTTCTTCCTGTATGATACGCGAGCGCGAACGTGGTTGCAAATCTGCGACGATACTAGTCACGTAGGGGGACCACACCTTGTCTATGATCATCAAATGTGCATTGATAGCGATAAGCGCACAATTTATGTATTTGGTGGAAAAATTCTCACACCACGCAGCGTTTCAAACACCACAACGAATGAACCCGAATATTCGGGTCTATTCTCGTATCACATTGCCACCAACACTTGGACTCAGATACTCGTCGATTGTCACCATCCAAGTGCTGCACAGGCAGATGTACTCTCTATAAAGTCCCGTATTACCCACTGTATGGTCTTTCATATGGTAAGAGCTTGCATATACTATACTTTATCACCATAAAACTTCAATAATGGGTAATATTTTAACGCATAGAAAAATCGCAAACTGTATATTTACGGCGGTCAGCGGGGTAAAGAGGATATCGATGACTTTATCACTTATGATGTAGACACTCAGGCCATTTCAGTGCTTAATAAAGACAATAACACCTGTGGCGGTGCTGGTGGCAGTAGCGTTTGTAGCCACAGCAGCGGTGGAGGTGACGCCAAAAATGAACCGTCGCCAGGTTACACGTTGCGGGCTACAATCGATTGCGATCGTGATGAAATTTATATCTTCTCCAGTTTGAGTAAACTTAAAGATCGTCGTGATATCCAACATATTGACGCCTCGAATTCATTTTGGGTATATTCGCTTAAAAGTTACACATGGTCCCGTATTTATAACTGTCGCCATAATGCTGAAACTGGAAATACGACTGTTAAGAATGATAAGCTCGAACCATGTCCACGCTACGCACATCAACTGGTTTACGACGATGTCGCAAAGGTGAATAATATTTTAGAATTACATCAACCGAAACCTTTTATAAAGTCATATGTATGTACGTATATTTAATTTGTAGTTGCACTACCTCTTTGGCGGGAATCCTGGCAAGTCGGCGCGGCCCCAAATGCGTCTGGATGACTTTTGGACACTTGAGTTGGAAAAGTATATTATTTACACAACTTTTTTAATTACGATTATAATAAGTTCAAATTTGATTTAGACCTAAAAGGAATGAAATATTAATGCATTGCCGTTACCTGGTCCGCAAGTTACACTACGAAGAAATGGCACGCACCGATCAGCTTAAAGCAATGCAATATTTGCGCAATCATGTCGCCGAAGTTATTGATCACTCGAATGCAGAACAAGTGAACAATGTAAAAAATATACATATTCACATATTTTTAAATAAGCTGGTAAAATCCAAATATTTTTGTAGTTCCACAAACTAGCATCTTTGCTTTTTCGTACGGATGATAGCAGCGCTGCTGCTGGCCGATCCCCATTGGCTACGCCACCATTGGGAAAAGCCCTAAAAATGGACAGCAGCATACAGGTGGAAAACTTAGCAACCGACATGACTACTGAATCTGCCGAAAGCGGCGATAAACAGCCGCCAGATGAAGGTACGCAATTTTGAAAGTAAATGTACTGTAACCTAAAGAAAATGTATCGTAGACTGTTCAAATAAATCTGATGTCACCAATCCTACAGACGATTTATCAATGGAATCATGTGATAGCACTGCAACGTCTTCTTCAATGTCAGCAGTTTCCGATTTGGCTGTTCGCCATGGCCGGCGGAGTAGCAGTAAGCGATCACACGACGGTAAACTGCAAGAATTGCGCAGACGGCGTGCTTTTCTCTTTAATAAGCTTGTTCAACTAATGCCGGCTAATATGGTTCAACCGGAAAGGAATCTGAGCGACTTTGTTGTCATGTAAACTTTCTTTTACACTATGTATTCTGAAACGGATTAGTATATTTTTAGACCCTGTTTCTTGTTTTTTTTTTTTTTTGGGAAAGCTGACGTTATCGCTGGGATCGTGAACCAGTAGACTGTATTCCAAATACATGTTGAACGCTTTTAAAAAGCAAATAATACCGATAAAAAAATTTTAGATACTGTTTCCAGTGTTACAAATATGCCTTAAGAATCATTTGACCGCAGAGGAAGGAAACAATTATATGCATATTTTGACAAGTTTTTTTTTTTTT